AATAATGTCGATCGGCAACAAATAATGCCGATCGGCAATATACATTGCCGATGGCATCAAAACACGAGCCAGTGGCCTCTGGCCATGGCCGGTGATGTGTGGGGATGCCTCACAAGGCATTCCCTACCTCTCCAAGGCAAAACACAAGTGTTTGGTGCAAGACCAGACACTAAACAGTCGAATTCGGAGATCCTGAGGCAAGGCGTGTAGCCGAGACCTCCGGGAACTCCAAACAAACATAAACATGGATGATCACCGGGTGTTCAAACGGTGACGTCCAAGTCTTGAGGACGGTCAAAAATGGGGTGTCTACATTTAGCTTCTTTTGTAATCATGTCATTCCTTACCTTGGCTATCAATGAGTCGGACCTGCATGAGGTGCCTGTAATGCAGGCAAATGAGAGAGTACCAGTGACGCAGGCATATGTTATGCCTGTAAATGAGGGTTCTAGTGTTATTGGTAATCGAAATGATTTTGATGCTATTAATAACACTATGGCTCTTAGTACACAAGCCATGACTGCAGTTTCTAATATGGCGCGACGATTACAAGCAAGAGTACAAGAAAATCAGCAATGGAGAGATGAGGTGTGCTTGTTAAAACAACAAGAGTGAATATGTGTAAGGAGAAGAAAGAGCTAAAAAGGAAAAATGCACAGTTGGAGAATGCAGTGCATTATTATGCAACGGTGATAATGTCAAGACTCACAGAAATCGAAAATAGAGAGAGACATGTAAAAGAGGCTCATGAAAAATTGTTGAGAGAAGTGAAAAAGAATAAATCTGTGAAGCCTTCTGAAAATTTACATGTAATTGAGTAATATTTTCGTTTTCTGAAATAAAATTTCGAGCAATTTTTCCGTTTTTATTTATTTATTTTATTGTTATTATTAAATTTATTTTTATTTTTATTTTTATTTATTTATTTTTTAAATTCTGTTTTTGCAAAAAAAAAAATTGTTTGTTGGTGCAGACAATGAGTATGGCAGATAAGAAAAAAAAATGTATATATATACTCCCCCTAAAATTATACACAGAATATACACATGCCCTTTATATATATATATATATTTATAATGATTGTTAATCTCAAAATAGGAGTCTCCCCCTGAGTTAATGCACTAGAAATTTCATAAAATTGAAGAAATAAATTACCAATCTATGACACCAAAGGCCCTTAAGATCTGGCCATAAACAACTACACCAAGTGCACTAGCAAAAAAGGAGAAAATAAAAATAAAAACAAATACTTCAATCAAGGTAGAAGCAACCAATATTAAATCCAAGAAAATTTGGAGCACATATAACAAGTAAAAAAATACAACACAGTGCAACAAAAATTTTAACATGTTGATCGGTGATAACCTTGATGAACGGAAGAAATTGAGACGATTGGGTAGATCGGTGACAAATTTGTGTAGATCGACAATGGATCTTGATGGATCAGTCACGGATCTTGATGGATCGGTGATGGAACTTGATGAATCGGTGAAGATGGTGATGCAGATTTCAGGTGGAGAAGTGATGGAGTTTGGAAGATTAGTGAGGGATTTGGATGGATGGTGATAGTGATGAAAGTGATCGATGATTTTGTGGATGGTGGAGTTGGTTGTAGGCTATGGTGAGGGTGGAGATGGAGTCGGCTAAGGGTAGAGGAAGAAGGGGAGAGCGAGACAGCAAGAGAAGGAGAAAAAGAGAGAGTAAGGGAGAGCCCGATGGTTGTTTTATATATATATATATATATCAGATATATCTCTGATTTATAGCAATACCTCTTTGGAACTGTGTAGCGATTTGTGAAATCCTGCAACAAATGTAGAATCAGTGTTATCAGGGCTTGATAAACTAATTCATGGATATTTCTTTCTTCTTCATGTATCAATAATAGATTCAAACACAATCATGCCACCAAATGATGGATGAAGCAGAGGACTATAAGAAAATATCTGAATGAATCACTGAAAGTACGGAAACAACGAAGGTGCTCATCATATGTAACAAAAAACTTAGATGAGTTTTCTTAATAATCCCCCTTTGCTAATTTCACCACTATAAACTGATGATGTTTACAGGCTTCATATCTGGAATTCTTAGCCGAAGCACAGGACAGTGCATCTGATGGTATGTTTGTCTTTACTTTCAAGGCTAGATATGTACATGCTTATATAACATGCAGATGCAGTTATGGTTTATAACTAACTTTGGGAGTTCATGTGGCATGGATTCTCCAGCTACTGATTTATTTGCAAGTGTTGTACCTAGTCCAGGAACTGACGCTTATTATAAATTTATAATTATCATATCTGTTTCTTATTTTTCATTTCAATAACAAGACAACGGGACAAGAAAATTATGTGTTACAAATATAATTCAATTACTAAATAGTACCAGAATCAGCTTGACCTATGATATTAAGTTCATTGAAATTCTAAGAAAGAACAAAAATGAAAATTAATTACCAAGAGACAAGGGATGAGCATCATATGATTCTTTTAATGAAATTTTTGCTTATTTTCAAATTGCAGTTTGCAAAACATCAATTCCTGATCTCTTACACACATTTGAGAAACCAGACCCCTGCCACACTGCGATGATTTTCAAGGTGAGTATAAGGCATTTACAAAGTTTGGTATAAGTTTGGTATTGTTTTTTTTTTTGGAGTATTACAGTATTACTCATTGGATTGAAATTTGGTAGTATGGAAAGGAATCTGGCATTCATGAAATAATTGCCTTAAGCATCAAATTACAATGAAATCAGATTTGAAGATCTCTGCAAAACTAAATTCGTCAAGTTCTAAGTACGGTGAAATGAAGTTAAAGATCTTTGAATTGGAAATTTAGATGATTTTCTTCTTAATGTTGTAGGAAAAAATATGTATATGCTGAAAGTAGAGTAACGGAGGTAGTGAATATTATGCCACATGAATGTATGTATGCTCTAAAGTTTTTTATTTTTTATTTAATTTTTAATTTTAAAGATGCAATACAGGATCTGGGTATAGTTTTTCAACTTATGATCATGCAATGGCTGATAATACCAACTGCGTAAGAGAATGGGAAGCGAAGTAAGAAAGATGTTCACTGGAGGAGACCTGAAATTGCTTTTTTCCGTATTTTAGAAGATAATTACCAGTTTTGCGGAGGTGACCTACTTAATGAAAGAGAAGATTTTGTTACCAAAAACACGAAAAAACGAAAACACAACCACATAGACCCTAAGGCCATGTTTGTTTGGACGGATTGGATTAGTATTCTCATGACTAATAGTCCTAGGATTACGAATTCGTTGGATTATGTATCCTATCTTAACTAATAGTCAAGTTTAAAATAATTAGTCCGTACTTCAATTGTTTAACCAAATATCGGATTAATAATTTTATTGAGCTATTAATCCAATCCCAAGCTCATGTCTACCCAAACAAACATGGCCTAAGTATCAGATTGATAGGTTCATGTCACTTATATGACAGCAAAATATCCAAACAAAGAATCTCATTCTTCTCTGCACAGTAGAAGGCCTCTATCCAAAAGAAAAATCATCTGGCGCTTCTTTATGGTATGGACTTAGGAGCTCATGGTAATTGATGCTGCAGCGTACAACTTTAGCCTTTTTCCTCTCTATATCTAGGTAGAAAAAGGAGATCTTAGTTCAGAATTGAAGTCCGGCATAGAAGTTCATCAAATGAAGTTGAGAAGACTGTTATTATCATGTGGAAACTACTTGAAATATTTCCTTTAACTCCACCAGCCAAGGAATCTTTTTTCCCTCCATTAAAAGAATGTTCTCCTTTGTTCTTTGTTCTTTGTTCTGGTTGGGTGATATTCTTCGTATTTTGGTTGCAGCGCATCCAAGTCATAGTTAGCCTCGTGCTTTCTTTGTTATTCCTTCCATAAGATTTCTAATCTGGAACTGCTTCAAGCTTAACTACCAGTTACATTTATAGTTGAACTATACGCCACACACATACATACACATCACTTCGGTCTTCAGCATAATTAAGTGTGCCATGGCCTTAAATGGAATTAAATTTCAACTTTGTGTTCTGTTAGGAATCAATTTCTGGGATGAAGAAGACTATGCCACTATGGATATGACAGCAAAATATCCAAACAAAGAATCTCATTCTTCTCTGCACAGTAGAAGGCCTCTATCCAAAAGAAAAATCATCTGGCGCTTCTTTATGGTATGGACTTAGGAGCTCATGGTAATTGATGCTGCAGCGTACAACTTTAGCCTTTTTCCTCTCTATATCTAGGTAGAAAAAGGAGATCTTAGTTCAGAATTGAAGTCCGGCATAGAAGTTCATCAAATGACGTTGAGAAGACTGTTATTATCATGTGGAAACTACTTGAAATATTTCCTTGAACTCCACCAGCCAAGGAATCTTTTTTCCCTCCATTAAAAGAATGTTCTCCTTTGTTCTTTGTTCTGGTTGGGTGATATTCTTCGTATTTTTGTTGCAGCGCATCCAAGTCATAGTTAGCCTCGTGCTTTCTTTGTTATTCCTTTCATAAGATTTCTAATCTGGAACTGCTTCAAGCTTAACTACACATCACTTCGGTCTTCAGCATAATTAAGTGTGCCATGGCCTTAAATGGAATTAAATTTCAACTTTGTGGTCTGTTAGGAATCAATTTCTGGGATGAAGAAGACTATGCCACTATGGAGATTGCATGAAGGCACTGATGTACGATGTAATTCACTCATTTTCTAGAGTACAAGTAACTGTTACTAGTTAGGCAACTTGCGAAAACCACATCCAAAATGAATATAATCCGTATTACCTTTCTGTCAAAATGATCACCAACAGGGTTTATTTCAATATTTGTAGGAAACATTGCATTTATGTAGAAATGTTATCATAAAAAAAGGCATTAGAAATGGGTTGGGCCTAACCATCAATACATAGCACCCACTTATGAAAATTGGGGTATTGTAGTAATTCTACACCAACTCTGAAACAGATAAGCTTTTCCTCCAATATCTTACAGAAGGCATCACCCACCAACCATTCGAAAGACATGTAAAGTAAAAAAAACCCAAACAGGAGAAAAGAAAAAAGAAAATGGAAACCTGTTCACTTCCAAGAGCACTACCCTTACTACCATCCTCATCTTCGTCAGTCCCAACCAAACACCTCTCTCAATTCCCAATCTCTACCTCAAAACTATACAAGAATCAAACTCACTTATCACACTTCACACCCATCTCAGCAACTTTGAATAGCCCAAGAGGCTTTGGAGCCTCCCCAAAGAAAACCAAGATAACAAAGAAGCAAAAGAAAGGCTATGACAGTGATGATGCTGAGGAAGAAAAAGAAGAAGAAGATGAAGAGCCTGAGGAAGAGGCAGGTGTAATACCAGAGGTGGTGACCAACAGGATGATGAATAGGATGGGGTTCTCAGTGGGTATCCCTCTGTTCATAGGGCTCTTGTTCTTCCCCTTTTTCTATTATTTGAAAGTTGGGTTGAAGATTGATGTGCCCACTTGGGTGCCCTTCATTGTCTCATTTGTCTTCTTTGGGACAGCTCTTTTGGGGGTGAGTTATGGGATTGTGTCCTCCAGTTGGGACCCTATGAGGGAAGGCTCTCTCTTGGGTTGGAAAGAGGCTAAGAAGAACTGGCCTGTTTTCTGGCAGTCACTCAGGGGTAGTGGATCTGGAAAGAAGTAGCACTTCTCTCTCTCATCTGTAATTTTTTTTCTCATCCTTATCTATATATTTTGTTTACTCCAAATAGATAGTTAATTGGTGATGGCTTTTGTCAATAATGGGTAATCCATTTTGGGTTCTAGTCTCTGTCAATTGGAACATGTTTGGAGTTTTTTTTTTTTTTTTTTTTTTTGAGACATCCGGTAAAATTAGAACGATACAAGATAAGATTAGCATGACACGCACAAAATGAGAAATTGTCAAAATTGGAAATGTTTGTATTTGAATGCTTAGGCCCTGTTTGATAAAGCTGTGAGAAAGTGTTTATAACTTATACTTAAACAGCTTATAGCTTATAATTATGAACATAAGCTGATTTTTGATTTATAAATTAAGCATCTCCTGTCACACTCAAAGAATAAGCTAATTTCTGACTTTCAAAAAGGTATAAGTTATAAGTTATAAACTAAATTAAACACATCAAAATAGCTTAAATTAAATTAAAAATTAAAATAAGTAGCTTTTAAACTGCACCAAACAGGGCATTAGTCTATAATAGATCTGGCAAGCTGAATTAATAGTCTACTTGTTACTTTTAAGGAATCATTTCTTTAGGATTTCCTAATTTTTATTTGAGTTGGTCATTTTGGTTTCTTCATTTAATGTTTTCTTTGGCGACATTTTATTTTCTTTCATACAGATTATGCAAAAATCCTATACCAACATAAATGATAGACCTCGCAATATCCGTCAATCACAAACTATTTGTGACACAATCTGACCATGTCTCATAGGCACTAAATAATAACTTTCTCATAAGAGGGATCAACCAGTAACCATGCATTTCATTCATTGGAGTTACTTGTTGCTATGGACTCCATATGAGTCCCGTATTGAATAATGAAATCTAAAAAGCAAAATTAGCAAATTTAGAATTTCATTTTTTTTAAAATAAATAAATAATTTCCGGCCCAATTCTAGTTTGATAAAGTATGTACATTTTTTAAGACCAATTAACTTGTCTAGCAAAGTCTTTAGTAGTTCAGACCCAAAAAAAATAAAAAATAAAAAAGTTTCCTTTGAGAAGGAAATTATTCCTATCAAATTTTGATTGGGTTGAGGCCCAACTTCTCAAGCCCAACCCAAATTCATTTATCCTGTAAATATGCCAATCCTTCCCCAATATATATATATATATATATTGGCTTTTGTTTCTAATGGAAAAATGCGAGGGGAAAAAAATGTATAAAAGGATTTTTAATAAAGAGCAAATATCAATAATTTTGGGTGGAAAAAAATAACACTTTGTTAATAAATGAGAAAACTTGGAGAAACTTGTGATAAGAGAAACTACTCTCTTTCCTTTCCCTTTTCCCTCTTCTTTTCATTTTCCTATTGTTTTTCTTTTCCACCAAACGGAGCCTTAAGTTAAGATCGTATTGGAAAAAGATGTCTTCAAAATGCTAAAGAGGTAGCAACAATATAGGCTTTCTTTCAATCTTTTATTGCGTCGACTTCATGTGCCTGTCTCTTAGACCTCACCCTAGAATTTGTCCTATTTGACATTTTTAATTAGCATCGATGGGAACCCATTATAGGACACAAGTTTGCTTTAACAACTTAAAAGTTAAATATTTAATTATCTTATTTAAATATTTCTTTTTCTTAGGTGAACTAATCTAAAGATTTCTAAACCTGTGAAACTGAGCTCTTTTTTTTTTTTTACTTTTTTTTTTCCTTCTTGTAAATCCGTGTTGTTTTGGTTTCTAAATATACTCTTTAAATTTTTTTTATACATTCATTGCATGGATTTATCAAATTAAAGATCTCAACGTTATGGGAGAGATTGGCTCCATTGTGGACCAATCTTCACATAATCTAATGATTTGAATTGTTCATCTCATATGAAAAACAGAAAAGCAGATGCATACTAAAAAAAGTGATTGATCAAATATAAATGATCAAATATAAATAATTATATGATTAAAATGATATGATGATATGATAATTGACATTGAATCAACTTAAATTTTTACATAATTTTTTTTTAGTTGATTGTATGAGATGAACGATTTGGATTATTGAAATATATCCAAATTAGTCTCATTGTAGCTCAACTTTTAGTTAATGAGTAAACTTTCCAAGCTTTTTGCTGCCGACTTTAGAATCAACTATCTAATGTCAGTTAATTGGAGTAGGACGAGAGGCAAACCTCAAGTGTGTGCACCAACTCTACAACACACAGAGAGTGCAGTTGTCAGGATTCGATCCCACACCCAAATCTTGAATACGAGTCATCCAGCACTCAAAGGGCTGTCCTATGACCATCACACCAAACTCGTAAGAGTTAACCTGAAAAGTATAAAATGTGAAATTTCAGAACTTATGTCCCAAAATCTTATTAAAGTGTAACAAGCTCATGGATTCAATAGCTCAACTTTCCTATAAAGTTAAAACTTTTAGCTTTGACATTCAAACTTAATTAATTTATTATATTTAAAAAAAATAAAATTTATCATGTCACATAAAATTTAATAAACATGAGCCTACAAAATAAATTGTTTTGTCGGCTAGTATAATAGAATGGGACCTATCAAAATTGGTCAAACTTACACCATAACCATACTGTTCATAAAATTGACTTATTGATCATATAAAATCAATAGAATATTGTTGGTAATATTGAGCTTATTTTATAATTTAGAATTGCAATTTTATTTGTATTGCAGGGTAAACAGTTTGGCCCAATGTTTTCAAATCCGAAACGGACCTGCCGATCAGACTAGTGACAGGACTTAGTTTTGGTTCGGATAACTCTCTAAACTTGGATTATGTTTAAAATTGGCTTAGAATTTGAAAACCGAAGGAATTGGTGAACTGGTCACGGGTTAACATAAGAACCGATCAAGTTTGAAGAATTGAAATTTCTTCCAAAGTTTGAACATGAAACCAAGTGCATACAAAGCAAGTGCTCAAATTCTTAAAAAAAAGTCACTTTTAGCTACTAAAATATTGGTTGTCAATTGTCTACTTTTTGGTCGCCAAATGTGTTTTTTCTTGTAATGAAACCATTAAGCCATTAACACAATTGTTGACAATGTAAAAAGTATATATACTATATATTCAATATTATCTTAATTATTTTTACTAAAAATCAATCTACAAAAAACGTTAAATAAATTTTAAGAAATATTTTTTTGTAAATGTTTATTATTTATTAATTTTTGTAATTTTAATATCTATGTTTTTTTATACTTATAAATTTTAATATATTTATAATATAATTATGTTTACCCACAGTAAAACTAGTGATCTATCCATCCGATTACTTTTTCGACTCGCTCACTAATTCGATTTTCAAAATATTAATTAGGCCAGGAAAATTATAATTCAAAATTTAAGAGGAAAGTAACTAGTTGGCAGGGACCAAGTATTAAAGAAGATATTGATTGGGAGGAAAGTAAAGTTGTACCTCTCTCTTCTAGGTCCCCCAGCCAACATATATATAATTTTAAAATATAAAAATATGAATTAAATTTTTTTAAAATCTTAACTTTTTGAATATTGTTTTAACTTTTTGAAGTGATATTAATTTTAGTTGTAAGCTTTATTTATTTAAAGTAGTAGGGTCTTTTTAATTTCTTGATAATTCAAGTGCTTGTCTCACTAGCTACATGCATGCATGTAGGGTTGTTTGGTTGTGTTTTTAAAATTTTTATATTTTGAGTTTTTGGAAGTAAAAAATATTATAAAAAATAATTGAAAACACCCATTGTTGTGATATTGTTTTAAATTTTGGTGCAAAAATAGTTTTTATAAATCCGAAAACATTTTTGATATTTCTTAAACCTGAGTTGTTTTTGAAAAAAATAATAATAATTGATTTTTTTTTTCTTGAAAACTGTTTGTTAAACAAATTTTTTGTGTTTTCAAAAAATAAAAATAAATAATGAAATCTATGGGAGGTAATTTCACACATCCACGTTGCTTGGCCGAGCAATTTGAGAAAGGTTTCATGATTAGTTTCCAAATAAGGTGTCAGGTCAAACATTAGTTAGTAGTTGTACATAGCCGTGTCTAGAGAAATCGTCGAACATGAGAAACAATCTAATCTAGGGCAACATGAGTTAGTAGTTGTACAAAACTCTTTTAACAGTCAACTCAAATAATTTAAAAGCTTCCTTAACCTTGTGAAAGAGGTACACAATCATTAGCAACTAAATGAGCATCATATTGAGAGTTGAAAATTATAGACTTAAGGATTAGAGTGTCTTTGGTTAAACACCCTACTCGATAAGAATTCATTATTTGTGGTAACAAGTCAAGAGGAAAAGTGTTAATTCCAATCGTTATCATCTGTTTATTTAAATTGAAAATTTTTTCTCCACACAAAAACATTGTCAAAAAAGCTCTTCTTTGTTTATTTATCTAGGAAGAAATTATTAACTTAAGGATCGGAGTACTCCTAACCAAACACCTTAGTTAATAAAGACTCACTATTTATGTTTACAAATATATAAAAAAAAATATTACGACAGAAATTCCAATTATCATCCATTCAATTTCATCCAGTGTGGGAATTTTTTCTCCACACAAAAGCATTACCACAAAGCTATTATTTGTTTATTTACCTAAGCCATTAACTAACTACCCAAAAAAAATATCTAAGCCTTGAACAAATTGTAAAAACAACAAAAATAGTTTAAAACACAGTTAAGACGTAGTCTATCTCTCCTTTTAACATGGGCATAAAAAATTTTATATTCTATATTTTAAATTTTTATAAAGAATAATGTTATCAAACATTGGGAATGAGAGTAAAGAATTGAGGATTGAGATTGAGATTTACTTTTCTTTTCTTTTCTTTTCTTTTTATAAAACACATTGCTTGAATGAATGGCTTTTTATAATGACTTTTCATAAGTACACATCACTTGATTTGCTTGAATAACCGAACATTCCTAACGTTAGAACAAAGTCTAATCTCCATACTTTTCATATTCCCCCACCTACCTTTATATACACACACATACATATTTTATTATATATATTTAGTTAGAGAGAGAGAGAGAGAGAGAGAGAGAGAGGGGGGGGGATAGATGTTGGTTTCTTTTCTTCAAAAAATTAATTTTGGAGGGAAAGATGTCCCCTAT